CATCCTCATTACCATCATCATCATCATCATCATCACCATCGTCATCATCATCATCATACTCATAATCATAATCGTAATCAACATCATCATAATCATCATCATCACAATTCATCATCATCACCATCATAATTATCCGTCGTCATCATCATCCGCATCATCCGCATCATTATCATCATCACCATCATCCTCGTCACCATCATCATCATCACCATCATCACCATCATCACCACCATCATCATGATCACCATCACCATCACCATCACCATCACCATCATCATCATCATCATCATCATCATCATCATCATCATCATCATCATCACCATCACCATCATCATCATCATCATCATCATCATCATCATCATCATCATCATCATCGTCATCATCCCCAACACCACCTTCAACATCGCCATCGCCATCGCCACCACCTCTCAGGGGGGGACGACGAGCCCAGGGGCGAGCGCCTCCCCCGATGCCGGCTCGGCCGCTCGACCTCCTCGTCCTGCCGCCCCCCCTTCCCTGCTGCCCCGGCCCGCCTGCTGCCCTGCCAACCCGACGGGGCCCTGGGACATACACACACACACACACACACAGACACACACACACACACAGAAATACACACAGATGACAGGATTCCCCACATGTTCCTGTATGGTTTGGGGGGTTTTGGTCTCCCCTCCCCCCCACTTCCCATGGTTTCGCATAGTCCCCTGGGAATCAACGAATCATTGTGTCTGTGTTTCTCCCATCCTGGCAACAGACAGGCCAATCCCAGAGAAAACACCCGGCGGCAGGCCGCTGCAGGCGAGCACCCCTCGGGGGCGACGATGGGGGCGAATAGCCCAGGGGGGGATCTATTCGGGTGAGGATCCTCCTCCGCCTCCTCCTCCTCCTCCTCCATATTATCCTCCTCCTCCTCCTCCTTTCTCCTCCTCCTCCTCCTCCTCCTCCTCCTCGTCCTCCTCCTCCTCCTCCTCCTCCTCCTCCTCCTCCTCCTTCCTGCTCCTCGTCGAGAATCTCTGAGGTCCGACAGCTCTGGAGGATGCCTCGGGCGCCGCGGCCTTCTCCGAGCGCTCCGGGACGCTCGGAGGGCGTTCCGGGACGCTCTGGAGCGTTTTTGTCCCCGCCCTACAGTCGAGGCGTTGACCTAAGGAACGAAACATAAGGAACGAGGCCCCTTTTTCCCATACATGAAACTCCGATGTTCCATGGGAAACCTCAGGCAAACCCAAGGAGCACTGTAAAGCAACTGAGGAACACGGAGCCCCTCCCCAACAAGAAAGGTTCCTTCTCCAGGGCCCCGACTGTAGCCCCGTCCGATCAAATCTCAGGGGCGACGATCGGGGATGGACAGACCCCCCTTTGGTAAAACGTGGTTTAGTGAAAACGACTTCGGGCCCAAACCTGGCGGGCGCAAGCCTGGAAAAAAACGGCCACGGCGCCCTCTCGAAAACCGAAAACGGACAATTCACTAATCGACGTGTCACTGTTGGGGGTTCTGTCCACCCCCGAGACGATGGGGGCGAATGGCCCAGGGGAGAGCAATGCACGCATCCAGAGTCGCGGCTGGTCCCTGCCTTCGGCGGGGCCCCCGGGCGAATACACGCCATGCCCGCCGCTGAGCTCTTCGTCCCCATGGCCCCCTCCGAACCTCCGACGCTGCGGCTGCCGCGGTCGCTGCGTCGCCGTCGCCGCCGGCGGAGGCTGCGTCGATTTGCTCGTCGGCCTCGCCGTCGTCGTCGTGCGCGTCGACGTCGCCCTCGGCAGCGGCGCCGTCGCCGTCGCGGCCGGCGTCTCGAGCGTTGCTTATTGATGGGGGAGGGGGGGGGAAACGTAGACCCGTCGCACCCCTCATGGACCCCAGGGGGGGCACTTCAGGGCCCCTTCAGGGCACACAGGGTGCACCCTGCTGTACCCCCCCATTCATCGCCCCTCCTTGTTACGCAACTCCCAGGCGTCCCCGTGCAGCGCTGGCGCTGGCGGAGTCCGGCGGTCGAAGACCTCCGTGAGCATGAACAGTCGGAGGTCCGCGCGGGTTTCTTGGAACTGCTCTGGATCTTCTCGAGGCGGACAAGGCTGGCGGGCTCTGTATCGCGCAGCGTCGAAGAGGAGCAGTAACAAACATCTGAAACGCAAGTTTTAGGCGCTCCGCGCGGACTTCTTGGATCTGCGCTGGGCCACCCTCCCTGGCGCGAGGGGCGCGCCAGGGGCGGTGCAGAAGGCGCCGCCAGGGGGACTCCAACGCGGGCCCAAGAAATCCGCACGGAACTTGGACAGTGATGTTTATGACGTTGATTATACTTCTTCTTCTTCTTCTTCTTCTTCTTCTTCTTCTTCTCCGAGCGTCGGCGTCGGCGGAATGGTCGCCGTCGTCGTCGCAGCCGTCGTCGGAGTGGGCGCTTGCGGCTACTGTGTCGACGGCATCGGCGGCGCTGGCGCTTGCGGCTACTGTATCGACGGTATCGGCGGTGCTGGCGTCGGCGGTGCCTGCGTCGCCGTCGGCAACGGCGGCGGCAGCTGCGCTGTCGGCGTCGTCGGCGTTGACGGGCGTCGGCGCCGGCAACGGCGACCACGTCGGCAACGGCGTCGAGGAGTGGCGTCCGCATCCCTCCCTCTCTCCTCCTCCTGCAGGTGCTCCTCCCTCCTGGACCTCCTCCTGTCCCTCCGCTGCAGAGTGGGCAGGAGGAGGAGGAGGAGGATGGACTGGAGGAGGCTGGCTCATCCACCATCCCTCTTACCCAACCCCATCGAACCTCGATCTCTCCCTCTCCTTGATTATTCATCCGCTCGCCCTTCTACTCCTATCTTCTGCCTCTGTTCTGCTGCTCATCCTTCCTCCCCTCTCTCTCCCCCCTCTTACTTCCTTCTTCTCTCCTTCCTCCTCCCCTCCCCCCCACCCTCCTCCTACTCCCTCCTCCTCCCCTTCCTCCTCCTCCTCCTCCTCCTGCTCCTCCTCCTCCTCCTCCTCTTTCTACGCAGCTTGAGGCGAGGCGCTGCTGTCGGAACTGGGCCAACTCGATTCCATGCAAAAGAACGATGGCTGGCACAACGCCTTCCAGAACCGTGGTGCCCTTGAAAGCGTCCCCCAAGGTGAGCGTGTTCTTTTTCGTCGTTTTGACGTTGGGCGGAAGGCGGGGAGGGGGGGGTCTCGCTCTGGACCTCTGCTTAGTGCGACTGTTTGCAGCAGTGCGTCCTATGGGGAGACTCCGCCTGCCCGAAATAGGCGCCAACAAAAACAGGCAAGATCTACTCCATCGAGGGGGGGGGGAAAGGGGGTGCGAGGGCCTTCGCCGGTCGGTGAAGAACAATGAACAAGAAAACGATCACCAGAACGTTGGGCCCCAGCCGCGTGTTTCCCAGAAGCCCGTGGCAACAGCTGTGCATCTCGCAGCTCCCCAGGCCCGGCCCGGCCCAGGGGGCGCGGCAGCGACAGCAACCAGAGGCACTGAAAGAAGGGAACTGCAGGGGACCGGGAGGAGGAGGAGGAGGAGGAGGAGGAGGAGGAGGAGGAGGAGGAGGAGGAGGAGGAGGAGGAGGAGGAGGAGGGGGAGGGGGGGGGGAGGGGGAGATGGAGGGAGGGAGGGGGGGTGGGAGGGAGGCCCCCCGAGGGACGGCGAGGTCCCACCCTGAGGTGCGAACGACGTCCCTGTGCCGGACCCTCGAGCAGCCCTCGAAGGCGGCGACCGTGGCGGCAAAGTCGCATTTCGCTCAACATGAAAGGATCGCATCTTCGATTAGATCTTGCCCCGGCGATAGCGGCAGTCGGCCTCGCCGCCCCTGTCCCCCCACCAACAGTCTTGGCCCGGGGGTAGTCAGCTCTCAGGGGTTGAGGAGGGGGTATGACTTATCATCCGGGGCATGCAATTCTGCTGGACCCCCCAGCAGCCCTCGAAAGTGGCGCCAGTGTGGCATTTCGCAGCCTTCAGGGACAGCGAGGTCTCATACTGATGTGCGTAGGACGTCACTGTCCTGGACCCCCCAGCAGCCTCGAACGCGCGACAGTGTCGCAGTGCGCAAACCTAAGGGACGGCGAGGTCTTATCCTGATGTGCGGACGACGTCACTATGCTCGAAAGTGGCGACAATGTCGCTGTGCGCGGACCCCAGTGACGGGGAGGCCTCATTCTGACGTGCGTAGGACGTCACTATGCTGGACCCCCCAACGGCCCTCGAACGTGGCGACAGTTTCGCAGTCCGCAGCCCCAAGGGACGGCGAGGTGTCAATCTAATGTGCGCAGGACGTCACTATGCTGGACCCAGGCTGCCCTGGAAAGTGGTGACAGTTCGCAGTTCGGCAGCCCCCAGTGACGGCGAGGTCTCATTCTGTTGTGCGGAGGACGTCGCTATAGTGGACCCAGCCCTCTAATGCGGCGACACTGTTATGATGTGCGGGCGACGTCTCTATGCTGGGGCCCCGAACAGCTCTCGAACGCGGCGACAATGTCCATGTGCGCAAATCTCAAGGACGGCGACGTCAATGTGCTGGACCCGCCAGCAGCCCTCGAACACGGCGACGCTTCCGCAGTTCGCAGCCCCCAGGGACGGCGAGTACTCATTGCGATGCGCGCAGGACGTTACTATGCTGGACCCCAAACATCCCTCGAAAACGGCGACGCTTCCCAATCCTGCTGTGCGCACGACGACACTAATCTGGACCCTCACGCAGCCCTCGAAAGTGGCGACGGTGTCGCAGATCACAGCCTTCAGGGACAGCGAGGTCTCATACTGATGTGCGCAGGACGTAGGACGTCACTATCCCGGAAACCCCAACAGCCTCGAACGCGGCGGCAGTGTCGCAGTGCGCAAACCTAAGGGACGGCGAGGTCTTATCCTGATGTGCGGACGACGTCACTATGCTCGAGAGTGGCGACAATGTCGCTGTGCGCGGACCCCAGTGACGGGGAGGCCTCAGTCTGACGTGCGTAGGACGTCACTATGCTGGACCCCCCAACGGCCCTCGAACGTGGCGACGGTTTCGCAGAAGCAGCACTCGAAAGTCGCGACGGTGTCGCAGTTCGCAGCCGGCGAGGTCTCGTTGTGACGTGCATAGGACGTCACGATGCTGGACCCAAGCTGCCTCGAACGCGGCGACAATGTCGCACTGCGCAAACTCAGGAGCGGCGAGGTCTCATTCTGATGTGCGGAAAACGTCACTATGCTGGATCCCCAGCAGCCATCGAACGTTTCAACATTGTCACTGTTCGCGGCACCCAGCGATGGCGAGGTCTCATTATGATGTGCGGACGACGTCACTATGCTTGACACTCCAGCAGCCCTCGAACGCGGCGACCATGTCGCAGCTCGCAGTCCGCAGCCGGCGTGGTCTCGTTCTGATGTGCGTAGGACGTCACTATGCTGGACACCCCAGCAGCCCTGGAAAGTGGCGACGGTTTCGCAGTTCGGCAGCGCCAATGGACGGTGAGGACCCACTCTGATGTGCGCAGTACGCCACTATGCTCGACCCCCAGCAGCCCACGAAGTGGCGACAATTTCACACTTCGACTGGCGACAGTTGCGAGGTCCGCAGCCTCCCAGTGAACAGCGCAGGAGGAGGCAGGATGAGGAGGGAGGAGAAGGAGAAGGAATGGACAACACAGCGAGTGCTCTGTTCGACACGAGAACCCGGCCAAAGAAAGGGTTGGGAAAACAGTGCTGCCCGTGCGGGAACCTCCTCAGATGCCCAGGCGCCCCTCGCAAAGATCCGAAAACCAAGGACGACCACCGAAAACCTGCGAAGACGCCCGAAGACCTTCAATCATGGCGGCGCCTGGTAAGGGAAGGGCCAGAAACCTGCGGGACCCAAGCTGACTACCAGAAACCTCCGAAGACGCCCGGAACACCTTTGAAGACGTCCCCACCCACCCTTCGGTCGGGCATGTCCCCCTACAGGCGGGTTTTGGAGGAAACATATAAACTACCCCCAAAGTAATCAAACAATCATAAAAACAAATCGTCCCCAGACTATGCTTGAAGTATTTTTGAATATTCGTCCTGTAGAGGAACGTGCCCGACTTCAAGCCACGCCCACAAACCTCAGCGGGGCCCTCGCTAGAGGACCATCACGCAGACTTTGACGCCCGAAATGGTTACGGACAAAATGCATGCAGTGGAGGCCAGTCCACAAGAAACCTTCCACAAGAAACCCAACCCTGAGACCCCTCCTTGATTTTTGGCGTGGGAACGTGGCAATTTCCTTAGCAAAACCATAGACACCCAAGAACATCAGGGCACCCTGGAGGCAAGCAAAGTGTTTCTTGGCGTGGGCCACCACCGTACGATACCCAGCGAAAAACGTAGTCCAACAAAGACCGCAGTCGCTGTTGGGCAGGCGGCCTTCTGCCGAACATGAGCAGCGCCCGCGGCGCGGACAGCGAATCCCGTTCGAAATGAGCTGGAACTGCTGCTGGGCATCGCAGGGCTGGACGTAAACGTTGTTATTCGTTTTGTGATCGTTGTGTTTGTCGTTTTTCTCGACCTGTTTTCCAGTACATCCATGCCAAGACAAAAATACAAACACAGCCGAAATCTAGCAAAACAACGTTTAGGTCCAGCCCTGGGGCGTCGCACCCCATCTTTCCGTGTCCTTCCCTACGAGGGCAGCAAATCCACCCCATGATGACCACCCCAGCACGCGAAGCCGTTTCGCTAACCGCACCCGCAGGAGGTATCGAAGGCAGGGCAGGCCTGTTCAGTAACCGCCCAGGGCCGTTCAGGAACCGCCCATTGTCGGGTCTGGGCGGCTCTTCCTCCCTTGAATTTGAGGGGCAACGATCGGGGGGGACTTGCACAGGGGGGGGATGCATCGACCTGGAATCGGCGATACCTCGCCGATAGATCGGCGATAGGCCCCCGATAGTGACTCCGCACCTTCCTGGGCGGGTTGGGGCTATCGGGCCCCTATCGGCGATCAATGGGCGGTTGGGGTCGATGCATCCCCCCCTGTGCCTATCCAATCCTATCGTTGCCCCTGAGAGCTCCGATCGTGCCGAACAGGAGCCGAACGGCCGCTCCGGCCGCAGCCGTGGACGGCGCCGAGCTGGCACGGCGGAAGAGGCGGCGGCGGCCTCGGCCGCAGAACGCCGAGCGCAGGGCAGCCGCAGCGCGGCGGCGACGGCCGCCGCGGCCGCGGCGCCTCCTCCTCCTCCTCCTCCTCCTCCTCTCCTCCTCCTCTCCTCCTCCCTCTTCCTCCTCCTCCTCCTCCTCCGCCTCCTCCACCTCCTCCTCCTCCTCCTCCTCCTCCTCCTCCTCCTCCTCCTCCTCCTCTTCCTCCCCCTCCTCCTGCGGCCGCGGCGCCCGCGGCGCAGCCGCGGCGGCTGTGGCAGCCGCGGCAGCGGCCGCGGCGCAGCTGCGGCGCGGCTGCCGCAGCGGCGGGGCGCCGGCTCCAGTCGCAGCGGCGGCTCGAAGAGCGCCAGCAGCAGGTCGCCGATGTCCACCGGGCCGTCGCCGCTGGCCCGCTGCGCCTGGCGGCGGAGGGGAAAAGGAGGAGGAGGAGGAGGAGGAGGAG